CGGAACTGAAATGTGTGTAGTTGACATATTCTGTTGTTTACCATGGAATTGGAAGGAGTGGAAGATTCTTTGGGACATTATTTTTTGAAGAAGGAATTTTAGGTTACAGATACTGGACTATACTGCTTGGTTTTGTTGATTTTGGATCTTTAATTATGTTCTGAACAGGTCATTTTCTTGTTCTTTTACTTCCTCTTCAGCCAATACGCGGACAGCGTTTCTTAGTTTTTTTTTCTTTCTTTTTTCTGTGGCGGCGTTGAGGGAGGGAGTGGGGGGACTTATCGGGATAGTTTTCACGGTGAATTGAGCTATTATTATATGGTTTCCTTCATTGAGTGTTTACTTTGTTGTGAACTAGGTCTCTTGGAAATAGATGATCCTTAATCTTCTGCTTGTGTTAAATTAGTTTTGCATTCTGGTTGAGACAAATTTTAAGTAGAAATTCTTGCTGCTCTGTGCAGACTCGTTTTACTTGGTGAGCATCATAAATGAGCACCACGGTGCATAGAACTCCCAAAACTGGGGGCAAATCGTTGTTTTTCCAAGATTTGGCTTCCCCCATTTCTGCACGGAGAGGTAAATTTTCAAGTCCAGGTCAGGCAGCGGCAGTCTCTGCTCTATGGCGGGAAAATTTTGGTGGTTCAGATCTTCCACCTCCTCCCATGTACACCTTGGAGGACCGCTCAGATTTCTCTCCTGAAACTGGGATTCTTGACTATCCAGTTTCTCCAGAAATCAAGTTAGACCCAACCGCAAGTTCTGGTCCAGACTTCTTAACTCCATTGAAAGGAAAGTCAACGGCTAGTACTTCTTTTGCCTTGCTGAGTCACCAGAATCAACAGGGGTCAGGTAGTTCAAGTTGGTGGTCCCCAACAAAGACTAGTAGTGCTGACCAAGACGACAAAGGAAAGGGTTCTCCTGTTGAGGGTGTTGTTCAGCCTGGTGCTTTGATCACACTTCCACCCCCAAGGGAGGTTGCAAGGCCAGAAATGCAGAGGAATAGCCTACCTGCTGCTAATCTTGATGATGAAGAATGGGTTACTGTTTATGGGTAGATCCTTAGCTTCCTAGACATCTAGTTTTTCATGCACTTTACCTATATGTTTTATGTCTTCTGTTATAATTCGCTCATGCTTGCTGTGTTTGTATTATGAAAATTGAAAAATTCTTGTTATTATAGTGTGTTAAATAGTTAAGAAACCATATGACTGCTTTTTGTGTAAACTTTAACGTACAATCACCAATCTAATATTTCTTTCCTTTCCAGATTTTCTCCAGGTGATACCAATTTAGTTTTACGGGAGTTTGAGAAGTGTGGCGTAATCTTGAAACACGTTCCTGGCCCAAGGGATGCTAACTGGATGCACATTCAGTATCAGGTTAATTTTCTTTCCATGTAACTCGAAGTTATATATGTTCATGTTCATTTTTTAGTAAAAAACTGGTCTCTTAACCAAATGATTCCTTTTCTTCGGTGGGTTTTTGAACTCAAATAAACTATTTGGAAAGCATGAAGTGCTTAGCTTGCTTTCAAATTTAAAGAATGCTGCATTTAACAAATAATTGATACTGGTCCAAGCTTGGAATATTCTGGTTTTAGACTAAGAAGCAGCATCAATTGGCTTCTCCATTTTTTTTGGGTGCAGCATCGCTTTGATGCTCAGAAGGCTCTCAGCAAGAACGGTAAGCAAATCAGTGGAGTTCTAGTAGTAGTTGTCAAAACCCTTGATTCGATTCAACGTCAAGGTTTGAATGAAAGACTCAACAATCAGGGGTTTCAATCCAACCCATGCCATCTATTAGAACCGCAGAAAGAACACAATGAGAGCCTCACCTCATCCATTTTACGTTCAGAATGGCAAGGACAGTT